AATAAGTTATTATTACATGAAATAGAAAACGGGCGTATGAGAACGGGAACGGATGAGGTGAAAGCAAAATCAGAAAAAAAGAAAAAAAGGAGTATTTAAGAAATTCGAAATAAGATTGAAATTACGAAAATAGAAAATGGATTAATGCTATTTAAAACTAGTAGACGGCCTAAAACTACCTATTTATTGTTATAATTATTTAGAGCAACATAAAAAGAATAATTTAAAATTAATATGGTTATTTTAAATAACATCCTGAGTTATACGAGTACGTAAGTCGTCAATATCATGACTTAGGCTTTGCTAAGCGCGCACTCAGCACGACTTCGAAGTTAGCTCTAATACCGACATTGTCTTAGCTCGAAAGTAAAGTCTGAGCAAAGTCAAAGTACGGTCTATATATCTCAGCCTTCTTCGAGTCGCATACCATTCAGAATTAAATGTCTTCGTCTAGCTTATCACATATAATCGACACCCAACCTAATTGTGTAGGTGACCCGGATAAATTGTAATTTGCCAAGTCCTTCAGAATGGGTGTAATCACGTAAATTGAATTCTGTGTAAGATTCGGAGGCGGCCCATTAATTTGTGACAACATTAATTTCCTTTTACGACGGAGAATGTTTTCGTATAATGATTACAATTTAACTGCCGCTTGCTTGAATGTGAATGATAGAGCCTCGCTCACTCTCATTGTTATTAAATTTGTTTTAATCGCTTTAAGATGAAGTGGCGCAAGTGTTCAATATAAAAACGATGTTGTATTAAAATCATAATGAATTTTATATTTTTACGTAATACTTTGGGTGACCGACGCGTCACCTAGTGGTCGGACTACTGGCTTCTACGCTTTGGGGCCAAAGCTTAAATACAGTTGTGACTAACATTTATGCAAAAACTGAGTGAGTTACGAACCCTGTATCCGCAACGAATTGTAATCTTACAGCACAAACGATTAACCTTATTGATTGCGCATATATGAAAAGTGATCCCCACACTATATTCATATCATATCTTCTGACAATATTAGAAGGTTGTTGTCAGTGTCGAAATGAGTTTTTTTTTTTTATAGGATAAGGGTGACAAACGAGCACACAGTCCACCTGATGGTAAGTGGTTGCTGCGGCCCATAGACATCTACATCTATCCTCGTTTGCGAATCAAAATGCAGATGCGTTGTCACCCGTGAGGACTAAGATGGAATGCCTCATTTCCAGTAAAAAGGGCCTCCGGCCACCTGCACTCACCAAGCGAAACGCAGAGGTAAACCTCTACTTCACGCTGGTATTCTATGAGGTCGTGGTACCTCCCCGGTTCGAGCCGGCCCATCCGTGCGACAGCAAAAGCTGCCGCTTGGCTCTACCACTGTTAATACCACTGTTAGTTGCAATTTTTTGACAGTTCATATCTGGCATTTTTTTTAAAATATTATGCTTAATGCTAAATTAATAAATATCTAAGCTACAAAAAAATTCAAGAAAAAGTTTCTAACAATTTATTATTGTCGCGCTTTGCCCGAACGACCAAGCTTAATAAGTGAGAGAAACAAATGTCGCTCGGACTGACTTTACCTATGAAAAATCATCATTCTGTATTCCTCTATTTTTTCTTCCAAAACTGAAACATTTTATTACTATTTTTCAAGAATAATATAAGAAAGATTGTGGCTATGCTTTATTTTTTGCTTTATTAATTGTATCGTTAAAAATTGCTCTTTTGTCATTTTGCAGGGAGAAAACAGAATATTAAATTTGTTGGGACTAAACACAGACAGCGTTTCGTGTAAACAAATTTATTATTCCATGTTGCACGCAATTATGACAAAGCTTATTAGATATTATTTGTCAAAATCAAAAATTAATAGCTTTTTAATACATGTAAGGTGAATCTACACTCACTTTTTTTTTAATAAAACTTAAATGATAAACGAAACTACGGTCTAGCTGATGGTAAACCCTATATATGCTATAGCAGCCTATGGACACCTGCCGCCAATTTCATACTGAAAGCTACAGATGCGTTAACACTTTGAGGACCAAGAAAACAATTGCTTTACAGCCTGCAATTACACCGACTCTCTATACTTTTAGTGTATTATCTTTCGGACTGAAACACAGTAGTGCGTGCACTGCTGTTTAGCAGAAATAGGTAAGAGGATTGTGGGTAACCTAGACAGACGGCCTCATAGACATAAAAGGTGTCCTATCACATAATAAACCATAAAAACATAGCAAAATTGTGCTGTCACTTTACCCTAATATTTCGTGAGAACTTGGCTCTTCCCGCAACTGGCCCATTCGTACTGTAGCCATAATAAATCTACAGTGTGGGTACCACGTAAATTATGGATGGACACAGAAAAGAACTTAAACACACATATGCACAGCAATTTGGTTAATATGTCGCAGAGTTATGCATTATATTTTTCAGAAATAACATGTCCTTGGAAGTAGAGACTGTTAGATAAATAGTTTTTGCGTGGTAGAGCCATGCTGCAGCTATATTAATAGTATGGTTGTAGCACGAATTGGTCGCCTCGACCAGGGAAGGACCACGCTCTCGCAGAATACCAGCGTAAATTAGCAGCTTATTGCTGCTGTGTTTCGTATGGTGAGTGTAGAGAACCGGATACCTATTTTACTGGAAAAGAGGCATTCTATCTTAATCCTCACGGCTGATAACGCATCTACATTTGAATTCGCAAACGAAGATAGATGTAGATGTCTATGGGCCACAGCAACCACTTACCATCAGGTGGACTGTGTGCTGGTTTGTCACCGTAATTCTATAAAAAAAAATAATCTTACCGTAAAAGCCTATCAAAAATCCACTACTGATTGATGTCATTTTTCATTTTATTTCGATCTATCGCTTCTTACAACACCCACGGGACGGTATGGGATAGTATACATATAGTGTGTATAGCGATATTCTCGCCACCACACGGTCAAAATAATTTTAAATAATTTAAAATCGTTAGCCTGCTTACGTCCCGCATTCTTTCCACATTACACAGTGGCTTAGTGCCGCAGGTTCGAATTTCGCACGGAACAAATAATTGGTCTACAAATAATTGTACCGGGGTCTGGATGTTTATTAGTGCACTTTATGAACGTAAACTGCATCCACGATACAGGAAAAACCCTAGGACTATTCCAGTAATAACTTTTTATAAAAAAAAAATGAAATCCACAAATATTTCATCTAGATAAGGCCAAACATACGAAACGAAAAGTGGTAGATTATAATATATCTTAATTTAAGGCGTATTACTACTAACGTGATACGATTTTTACGTCTGAAAATGTGTAGGATTTTAGTAACTTTAGGAAAATTTAAGTCAACCGAAAAATATCCTTGTTTCCATAGTACAATTGACGTCATCAGTGATTGAGACGTGGGTGGAATGTAATATTAGATATCAGGTTTGTTCCATGATATCGATACTACAAATTATGCTATTGGATTTCGTAATTTAAATTACTTGATGTAATTTTAAGTATTTTTCTTCTTCACAATCAGCACATAAAAAGTCCACTGTAGGACCCGAGCCTTTCCCGATGGACCTCTCTCGTTTTAAGAAGGATGTACTGAGACAGATCGCATTACTAAACATCTTACACATTTGATGCTGCTATCCGTCGCCGTTTACCGTAAACTAACTTGGTGATTGAATGGCGGCTTCGTGGCGCAGTGGCTTAGCAATGAGTTGTTGCGCTGGGGGCCGCGGGTTCGAATCAGGCACAGAACAAGTATTTGTATGGCCTACAAATAATTGTTACGGGTCTGGATGTTTCTCCTTGTGCAATTTATGTTTGTAAATTGCCTCCACGACACAGAAGAAAATCCTAGTGTGGGGGTAACGTTTTAAAAAAAGAAAAAACTAATATGCCGCCATCCTATGGTAGCCGTAAGTTTTTTTATTGCTTTTCCCATAGTCGCTTCTTAGGACACTCCTGGGATGCAATGGAATAACGGATGGCAAACATCTTATAATAAACTTTTAGTAAATATGTCTAAAGAAAACATGTATTTTAAAAAAAAATCTTTCTTCTCATATAACAAAAAGGTCGTTGCAAATCAAACAAAAAAAAAAAGATTCGGATTTTTTTTTGACGACAACAACAAACTTTTATTTGCGTCGATATATTAAAAGAAGCGTATTATAATATCTCTTAGAATTCTATGATTAATGTTTATTTTTTATTTTGAATCAAAAATACATCACTGACTTAACATCATCATCATTACAGCCCTTCGCAAGTCCACTGCTGAACATAGGCCTCCCCCAAGGAATGCTATAAAGCACGGTCCTGAGCCACCTGCATCCATCGACTTCCTGCATATCTTACCAGGTCGTCACTCCATCTAGAGGGGGGATGCCTACACTTCGTCCGCCGGTACGAGGCCGCCACTCGAGAACCTTTTTTCTCCATCGGTTGTCGGTTCTTCGAGCTATATGGCCAGCCCATTGCCACTTCAGCTTACTAATCCGTTGGGCTATGTCGTTCACTCTGGTTCTACTGCGGATATCCTCATTTCTAAGTTTATCACGCAGAGAAATTCCGAGCATAGCCCTCTCCATAGCTCGCTGAGCGACCTTGAGCTTCCTCACTAGGCCAGCACTGACTTATATATATATACAATTTTCGCTTTTTTAGTTGTGGATAAGCAATACGTTTGTAATTTATTAACACTTTTACACGTTTCTTGACGTGGTAAGAAGTTCTTAATGGGTAATGATGAAATAAGTTGAGCAATACTATGAATATTTTATAAAATACGTACGTAAGAGAAAATATATCATTAAAAAATTGCATGTTCAAAGGATAAAACTGATTTCGCCATATTTTGTTCTTATACGTGGACTTAAATAAATTTATTGGAGGCTTTTCATAGACAACTGTATTTTATGTAAATGTTTATCTAAACTTTTCTTGTTCACAGATGGGTTTCGAGAAAACTAACAGCGTTCAAAAGAGAAAACCGGTGTGAATAACATGCTTTTCGCCGATAATAATGGGTCGTACAATGAAGCGACATTGCTCACATCGGACCAATATGAAACAGCTGCTATGAATTTCAACGGGACTTTGGCGTCTTATTTGGGAGGAGGAGTTTTGATTCTAAAAACACTAGCGGGAGAATCAGTAGAAGTAATCACTGAGCCAAAATCAAATAAAACAATTGACATAATTGACGTAAAAATCGTTCAAGTAGCTTTCTGTATACTTTATTCAATTATATTTGTTCTTGGTGTTTTTGGCAACGTATTAGTTTGTTATGTCGTATTCCGGAATCGCGCTATGCAAACAGTTACAAATTTATTTATCACTAATCTTGCATTATCCGATATACTTTTATGTGTTTTTGCGGTCCCTCTAACTCCGATGTATACTTTTCTTGGACGATGGGTTTTTGGAAGGCTGTTATGTCATTTAATGCCTTACGCACAAGGCACAAGCGTCTACATATCAACTTTAACTCTAACATCAATAGCTATAGATAGATTCTTCGTAATTATTTATCCCTTTCATCCACGAATGAAACTTAACACTTGCATTTATATAATCGTTTTTATCTGGTTATTCTCATTGGTCGTCACGTGCCCTTATGGTCTGTTTATGGGCATACAGATTACTAATAATAATACGTACTGCGAAGAAAGCTGGCCGTCTGACAAATCTAGAAGAATATTTGGCGTTTTTACAACTGTACTTCAGTTTCTAATACCATTTCTAGTAATAGCCATATGTTATACTTGTGTAAGTATAAGACTTAACGACAGAGCTCGCTCTAAGCCTGGTGCAAAAAACACTAGAAGGGAAGAAGCAGATAGGGACAGAAAGAGGAGAACTAACAGAATGCTTATTTCGATGGTTGCCATATTCGGATTCTCTTGGTTGCCACTAAATCTCATAAATATTTTTAACGATTTCTATGCTCAGATGACTGAATGGAACTATTACTTTGTCTCTTTCTTTTTGGCGCATTCAATGGCAATGGCGTCGACTTGTTACAATCCTTTCCTTTACGCCTGGTTAAACGAAAACTTTCGAAAGGAATTTAAACAGGTATTGCCTTTCTTTGAATCGACGGGTGGTGTCAGAAACAGCTATCACTCGGGCCGCATGCCTACACACAAAGCTGACAAAGCATGCAATGGCAATGAAACAATTCAAGAAACTTTATTGGCCTCCTCGTTCAACAGAGGGCCGTCGATAAAACAGAAAGTACTCGAGGGTAATGGGAAAAGGGACAATTGTGTTGAAATAGAAAGCATAATTTTAGAGGATAAAACTGTCATCGCTTCATTTCATACGAAAAGCGAGAATGTGAATTTGCAGTTGATTGATGAAGAACCACAATTCACCGAATCCAAACTATCGATACCTACTACGTAATTGTAAGTATTATTTTAAAAAAATTCAAATTATTACATTCGTCCTAAGAATGTTGTTCAACTAAGAGTGATTCTACAACATTTTTATTATATATATATATATATATATATATATATATATATATATGTGTGTGTGTGTATATTTAAAAAAAACGTTACCCCCACACTAGGATTTTCTCCTGTATCGTGGAGGCAGTTTACAAACACAAATTTCACAAGGACAAACATCCAGATCCGGAACAATCATTTGTAGGCCATACAAATACTTGTCCCGTGCGGGATTCGATCCCGCGCCCCCCAGCGCAGTAACTCATTGCTAAGCCACTGCGCCACGGAGCCGTTTATTTATATAGCGTCCAGTTTGCAAACCTATAAATATTTATATATAAAAATTATGTATCACATTGTATGTCCGCGATAAACTCCTAAACTACTAAACTGATTGCAATGGAATTTTGCACACTATGTGCAGTTTGCTCCAACTTGAGAGATAGGATAGTTTGTATCCCTATAAGTGACCCTCAATATTTTTTATTACGAATTTAAGAATTTTTCTAGGACACAGTCATTGGAGAGGGCAGAACAACGTCTGCCTGGTCAGCTAGTAATATTATATAATATGTTACAGTTAAGGTTAGTGTAAATAAAAAAATTTAACGTTCGTCAGCTGAACTTTGTCTTAGTTATAGGCGTTAGTTAACTACCTAACATTAGCCATAACATATAATACTCTTACATATGTAGAATATCGGCTCTGTGCTCATAACACGCATTTGGAATTGAATTAATATCTAGGAACAATGTATTGTTATTACGATGGAATTATTGATGATAAAAACCCCCTGGGAATTTGGGATGGCTACCAAGCGACTTATGATTTGTTTTGTGTTGTTAATTATTGTGTTACATATAAAATGATTGTAAACCGTTGTTTATTTTTCATAAAAATAAATGTCCCAGTGGGTTTCTTGCTGGTTCTTCCTAGGACAGAAATGTTTTCTTAACCAGTGGTAAATTAACATAAGAGTGACTTCCAATATTTATTATTTATTTTATAATCTATATTGAATTAATAACTTTCTATTCTATTCTGTTCTAATGATTTCTAATCGCAGTATCAAAATATTTTCATCTTTTATAGTATTTTTGATAAGGGTTTGGGAATTTTTAGGACTGGTATATACAAAATGGTTTCCGACTTACAGTGACAACAAAATTCTGTGTTTAAATCTACTTTTACCATCATGTTTTATTTTAACTTTGTTTTAAGGCAAAAATAAATATCTAACCAGAAAATACACTTCCTGTGAGATGCATTTCCATTTAATTGTTTTACAATGTTTATTTGCAAGACCTAATCCTTTTAATATAAACGTAAGTATCACCATCGATTGCAATAGTATAGTAAAGTTACACTGCTGGACAAAGAGCACCTCTATATCTGATTTTGTTTTTATAGAATTGCGGGCAAGCGAGCGTGCGGCTCACCTGATGGAAAGTGTCGACCTCCACCCACGAACAACTGCAACACCTTGCTTGCCCTTGCACTTGCCTGCCTTTTGAAAAGGAGTAAAGTAAGTCTTGTATTTTGAAGATCCCTCAGTCGTGTCGGTCCGGAAAAATCTCTAATGGTGAGTGTGGGTTTTGGGGCAATTTATGCTCTCGAAATACTTTATTTCATCTGATATGCAGCTTTCAGGTCACGATGTTTTAATTAATATCTGAGTACGTGATAAATAGTGACTTTATTTTGCATATTATTTAAATGGAAAAATATGTTTCATCGAAACCGGTTTGCCCTCGTACTAGGAAATTAACAGCGAGTGCTAAGCCATTGAGCTCCCATTAATATATTTGGCATATTTAATTTGACTTAAGGCATTTTCAAAAATTGACTCTAATTTTCGTAAAAAATTATCACTAGAATCCTTTCATTAATGTCTGTTATAGTTCTGATATTTTATAAAGGTCTGAAGTATCATTTAACACCTTAAATCTCCCAAAAATCGTTAGAGACTGTGGCCATTGACGCAAATATGGCCATTGTGTTCTGAAAGAAAGATAACATGATTAAAAGTTTGGTACCATATCCCGCATAAGAACATGTTATTTTCTGTTTTGCATTCAGCTGTAAAGTATGGAGTCGTTGTAAACCAGAGGCTTAGCGCTCGCTGTAAATTTCACAGTACACGAGCAACCCGGGTTCAATCCCCACCGGCACCAATGAAATTGTTAATTGCAATTTTAAGTAATTTACCACGTATTCGGCGGCGAAGGAAAACATCGTAAGGAAACCTGCATGTCTGAGAAATATAAAAGGTATTACGAAGATATGTGAAGTTCGCTAACACGGCATTGTGGCAGCGCGGCAGACACTTGCTCCTGCCCTTAAACCCTCTCAGAAGTGAGAGGAGGCCAGTTCCCAGCTGTGGGACGTATATAGGCTGTAACATTAGTTTTACTTTACTTTATTCAGTTGCAGGTGACCATAGACTGTAGTAGTCTTTTAGCATTACATCCACATCAAACTCCTTCATCACATTTGTATAACGAAGAAAATAAATTAACGTGATCTTCGGCTTGAAGAAGAGAGTAGGAAATACAAACGTATGTAAAGATTAACACTATTTTTTTTGTTTCAGGAAATCGCCGTCAAATAATAAAAACATTATCAACAAAACTTAATTATAAGATTTTCTCAATTTAGTTTTTGTAATAAACATGTTTTCCTTGGGTACTAATACAGAATTTCCTTACTTATAGAATCACTGTCATTTAATTACTGTAAATAAGTAATAATGAAAAAATTACTAAGTACCAATAGATAACTGTGAGATAAAGGAAAATAAAAATAATTAGTGGACATGATTGTGTTTTTAGCAAAAAAAAACTGTTACAAATCGCACCATTGTAATTTGTGTATAGAATTTAAACTTTAATTTGTAGATTTCGGGAACTTTCTGACAATTTTTGTAAATGTTACTTTACTCGTATTGCCTACGTTGCTTAAAGCGGTGACATTAATGTTTTTAGTCAATTGTGATTTATTGTTTAGTGTACATAGCTAAAAAATATAAAATATCTGATTAAAACATCTATATGTATACAAGTAATGCATTTGTAAATAGTAGCTTTTTATTAAAAAATGCAAGTTGATAATTAACAAAAGGCCTATGTTAGAATTTGACGTAACTATCGTAAAATTATAAAACATTGCAAATAATTTGCTTCTGTTTTTTAAATAAACCTTTGAGCCCAATTTCAAACTTTCTAGGAAGTCCATTTCCTTGTTATAAATTTAAGATGAGGGGAAGCATTTGTTCTATAGTTGACTTATGATTTAAACAATGTTTGTTTTGGATATACATACTTCTGTAATAATGGCAAAGAAAGTTTGAAATTAAGTTTATTTGAAAACAGAATAAATTGCGTCATAGCGTAGCGATATTTAATAATATAATTATGTACAAAAACTGAAACGAAGTTATTACTATTGTATGTTGTATAAAGATTTTAAATTAGCGATTGAATATGTATTTAAGGAAATTGTATGTAAAATTAGAACTAGCTATAAAAATTAAATTTTTATGTCACATGTATGTTTGATTTTGTTTAAAGTATGTAATGAAATGGAATAAACGATGTTGTATGTTTTATTTATTGTTTTGCGCTCATCTACAGTCTGTGTGTTAAAAAATAACTATAAAGTAATAAAAATAACTAAGTTGGATGAACTCAATCTATGGGCAAGGCCTATGTTCAGCAGTGGACTTTTTATAGGACTATATACGCATCTGCATTTTGATTCCCAAACGAGGATACATGTAGATGTCTATGAGCTACAGCAACCACTTACCATCAGATGGACTGTGTGCTCGTTTGTCATCCTACCCTTAAATAAAAACGTCGATTTTATGAAAAAGGCTCCTAATATTCGATTACTTAGAGCGATCAACTAAGAGCAAGTGATATTAAAATGCCTTAAGTATATGTTTTTATAAAACTAAAGGTAAGCGACATAGGGAAATAAAATAGTATTTGTGCAGCAGCATGTTCTTGATAACAACTAAAAATTAAAAAAAACTGCGGGTGCCAATCCACATGCCCAGCTATGGGCCTCTAAAAATGATGCTCGTTTTTTCACCCTATATTCTTTAAAAAGAATTCGAGTATCCCACTTATGCGGCATTCTATAGGGGAGATATACTACGTTGGAATGTTTCGTTTCCAGTATAAAAAGGTTTCCGGTTCTCTACTCATGAAACGAAAAACAGACTCTCTACGCATAGTAAGAAACTATTATACGTTTGCAATATTTGGGAGTGTCGTCTTTCCTGGGTCGAATCGACCCATTCGTGCTATAACCATAATAATATAGCTGCAGCCGGGCTCTACCACGTAAAAGTAAGATAATGGTATATGAGATGGTTATACTTCCATTTATCGGAGGCCATAAGATATTTCTAGAATGTCCTATAGTTTTCTCTTACGATACGCACAGGATCAAATGAGGCGATGTATTCACTTACAACGCCACTATAGGCCCAAATCTTAATATTAAGCGTTTATTTAAATAGGCTATTTTCATTTGTTTATTTTTTTCAAATTTATTCTGTTTCACTTTCACCCCTATACAATAATACTTTGGCAATTAATCTATCATGATGGGAAGTGAATAACATGCAATCAAATGATTTATTCTAAATATGATTGCGATATCATGTGTGATCTGCTTACTCACGTATTGATTTCAGTATAAATATTCATAGACAGTAGGATTAATCTGGGGCACTACTCGTATGTACCTACATATATGGGTGTGATAAACAACCATGTTTCAGTGGATAAAGAATCTAAGTTTCGTTAAGTTTAAGTTATTTTGCAGCTTAATTATACTTATTGATGGATATCACACGCATCAATTATTGGAAACACCATTAAAGATCTCAGAGCTTCAGAGATGACGATCTAGCCTCGTCTTATATACCAATGTCATCCACT